AAAAAATAAAAAAAAAAAAAAAAAAAAAATCGAAAACGGAGAATGGAAAATCCGCGGTAAAGTAAAAACCGATACGTTTCCCGCCGCCGCCGCCGCCGCCAACGCCGCGTTTGAAATCCGAAAACGACGCCGGCGGAACGGAAGCCCCGCGGGAGTCTCGCGGCGTAGTAACGGTCACGACGGCCGGCGTTATTATTATAATATCACCGTCGCCGTTAATGCGATCGTCGTCGTTGCCGTTGCGTTACTATAATGGGACGTATAAAAAAAAAAAACAGTCGTCGCGGTGGAAGCGGCGGCGGTGCGGCGGCGGTGCGCGCCGTCTCGGACGGGAAAAATAAAAAATATTATACCGGCCGAGTTTCCGCGTTAACGCCGCCGGACGGCGACCCGTTCCCGCCGCCGCCCACGCAGCCCGGGCGACGCGTTATCGGTACGCGTAAACGCATACGTACGTTATTACTGTTGTTGTCGTCGTCGTCGTCGTCGTACTGCGCGCGTGTACGGCCGGTCGTCCGGTACACGGGTTTCCCGTGTTCGTTCGACGGCGGCCCGGCGACGGCGACGACGACGTCGCTAACGAGGTCGGCGTAGCGCGTGTACGCGTACGAGACGACCCGTACAAACGCGCGCGCGCGCACAAATATTACCGTGCGCACGCCCGTTCCAATAATAACAATAATAACGATAACGATAACGATAATAGCGACGCGACGCAACGCGTGTTCGCGCGTTCCGTTCCGTTCCGTCTCTTTCTCTCTCTCTCTCTCTCTCTCTCTCCGCCGATACACGCACCCGCCGCCGACCGGCACACGGTAATAAAACAATATCGACAATATTATTTACGCGCAATTACGACGCTATTAAACCGTCCGCGGTCCTTTACGTCGTTATTGCCCGCGTGTTGTTATTGTTATTGGCCGGCGGCGGCGTCGGCGGCGGGTAATGCCGGCACGCCGGTAACAGTACGACGGGCGCGCGCGTACGGAGCGTGCCGCGGTGACGAGCCCGCGAGCGCCGGGCTCTTTTCGGATATTTATTTTTATTTTCTTGTCCCCTACAGACCGTTTGCGTTTTTCCTCACCCCCCCCTTGCGCGTTACGCTGCCGTTCGTTTTGTTTGTTTTCTCTCACGAATCCGTAAATAGACGGACACGTTGCACCGTTTCGCTACTTTCGAGCGGGATTCGAACGGAGCCCCCCCATCCACCCCACTCGGCTCACACTTGAAAATCCGACGTCTCATCGACGGGCGGGGCCGGGAATATTGCGAATTCCACACCGCGATACGTCCAGGCCGTTATCGTTTCACAAATTATCAAAAAAAACAAAATCAAACACTCTCCGAGATTTCGCGATGTATTCGTGGAGCGCCCTGTACAGTTCGTACAGGCGCGCTGATCGTTTTTGTTCTTTTTTTTTTTTTGTGAAAACCTCGTGTTTTACCGTCGAATCGCTACGATCGCCGCCGCGCGATATCGGCGCACGACTGTGGCGGGCTAAGTCGCGGCGGGCGTAGGGTCGTGAAAAAATCAAAACGCGTAAAACAAACCAATCGTCGATTATGGAAATAACGTTAATAAATATTACCGCGAAACGGGTAATTATTGTTTTCCGAACCGTCGCGGCAATAAATGATCCGCGACCTTTGTCTCGGCATTCGAGCCGCGTTCTCGGACGGAGATTCTCAGTACCGACGAACCGCAGAGTTGACCGCGATTAATCGCGGCTTCTCCGTACGTCGTCGAAACGATTACTATTCGAATGTGTGACATTATCGAATCGGGTGTGGTGACGTACGAACGAAAAGGAGATGGGGCAAAGGAATCCCCGTCACTTCGGGCCGTTTTTCCCGTCGCCCGGACGTCCTGTAGCGGCCCGGCGATCACGCCGGTCCCGCGCATCCGTAGATCGGACCGGATCATTATCGCGACGCTGTCGCGTCGTAATAACATTTGATATCACGCCCCCTCACCACTACCTTCCCCCCCGTAGCTTACGAAACGCACGCCGTGCGTTATTATTACCATTATACAGGTGCAGGCGAGCGGTCCGTCGTGTGTCTCCCCGTGGGAACCGAACGTCGTTTTTCGTCGCTTCACGATAATAGTAATAACAACAATAATAATAAGCGCCCGGGTGCATAACGCGACGAATAATTAGAATCGCATTTCCCCGCGCGCGGATTATTAACCGCCGTCGTCGGACGCCTAGTCTTGATTCGCGTTTACATTTTCGTCATAATCTCCCGTTATCTCGCGGCCGGCCCGCGCGTTAAAACGCCACGAGTTCCCCGACGAACGCGCGTGAAAACCACCGACTCCGACCGACGTGTACGGAGACAATATCATCGTGTGTTATCGTCCCGCGGGAATATGACGGGAATCGGCGTGGTAAAATTTAAACGCCGGATCCGAGAAAAAAAAAGAAAAAGAAAAAAAAACCGCACGTTTACGTCGAGCTTTCACGACTCGGCCGAAATATATTACGCGTTTCGATAGGACGGGGGGAAGGTATGATCCCCCTTTCCCGTCCACCGAAAAGCGTACGCCGCCGCCGGCGACCGGCCCGGACGAACGGACGGTAGAAGAAAACGAAACCCCCTCACACCCCCCCCCTAAAGACCAACCGCGCCCGGTCCCTACACGCGGTTTTGACCGCAGTTCGGCGATGCGTGCGGCGACCGCGGTCAGCCGCGAGCCATTCGCGCCGTCGTGGGGCCCCGTCGTCGCAGCGGTCCGCCTCGCCGTCGTCGGGCCGGTTAATTATAATCCGAGGATCGGAAACGCGGCGCGCATCATACGCGAGCCGCACGAGAGATTATTAAAATACGCGCGCGCGCGCGCGCTCGATAAATTAAACGGCTCGCGTATATTTTATCGGCCGGTCCGGTCGGATTCTGCGGCGCGGGGCCCCGCCGTAGCCCCGGAGAATCGTGTAGTCCGTTTTGCGCCGGGCGCGCGCGCGCTCGCTGGTTCTCCGCCGATCGGTATCTCCGGGCGGCCGCGCTCGTTCGTCGTTTTACGTGTAGCACATGATAATATAATATATGAAATATCATAACAACCGTACCGTACGCGCTTGGAAATAGCGTGTATCCGTGTACACCGGCAGCGTACGTACACAACGTTAAACGTGTACGCGAAATAACGACGCTACGGACGCGAATAACACGGCGTGCATAACGGGTGAAAGGGCACGAATTCGTACGAGTTATTATTTTTACATTTTTTTTTTTTTTGTCGATACGCCGAACAAAGCCCGCGCTCGGGCGGTTACGATTTTTATTTTTACAAAACGATCCGTACGATACGTAACAATGCGCAGGTACGGTGTTGCCCGCATACCGCAACATGCCGGCAACGATAACAACATTAATACGCGCGCCCGCGGGGGTATTAACAGGAGTGCGTTTTGTACGCGCGTATCGGCACGCGGACGAGGGACGAGGGAAAAATATCGCGGACGCGGACCGCGGATTCCGCGGAGGGGGGAGGGGGAGAGGGAGGGCGTACGCGTTCGGCGGAACGGACTGTGTTGAGCGATCGAACGGGACCGAGAAATCGTCTTCTCGGCGCGCGGGATCGTATCGGTTGTTCATAAAGCTCGAGCTTTGTAAATGAAAAATAAAAATAAAGCCATCGTTTACAATCTATTCGCTTCTCCATAAAAACGCGTTTCGCCCAACACAGTTTACAATATGCCGATATAATATATCCGAATGTCCCGTTGAAAAATCGCCGGCACGCATTCGAATAATTTTTGAAAAACTACCATCTTTGCCCGTTCGTACCGCACTAACCCCATTAAAACACATTGTTGTTAGTTCACTTATCGGTGTTACACATTGGATAGATGAAAAACAAATGTTAATTGTAATTCCTGTACAATTCGTAAATATCCCAGACACAACATTATAAATTAAAAACCATTAAGAAAATACAAATTGACGCCGTTTGCGCCGGGTTGCTGCGGTATGCCCTCGGAAAAACTGACGGGAACAACACTGGCGTTTACAATTATTCGCCTGCAGTCGCGTGGAAAAGTGGTCTCGTCTAACTTCTTCCGACTTCTATATATTATTATAGTCTAATCTCTTCGGACGCGACGTTTTTCGCGAGAGACGCCGAAAGAGCGTACAATCTTTTTCCGTTCGCCGGGGCGGGGCACGTGGATATAGCATGCGGGGTCGTGCTATACCGCGGAGTCCCGGGCCTAAAATAATAGTACTCCGGAGTTTAAAATTAGCACCTCTTCCCCCCTTCAAAAAAAAAAAAAAAACAAACAACAAACCCAACGAGTATTTTCGTAGTGGCGACCGATAACATACGTCGCCGGCGTATTTCGGGGTCTGTAGGCTCGACGGAGAAATCGGATTTTCACCTAACCGAGTGTGACGAAACGTCAGAGCCGCGGCCGTTCCACGGCGTCCCCCGTTAACGTGACACGCTCGACGCGGGTACACGAGACCCGTGTTTTTCTCGTCCCGGCGTACCCGTCCCGTTTCGGGCTTCGGAATAATACGCGCGCGCGCCCGTAATTGTTATTATTATGATAATAATACTGTCGTCGTCGTGGTCGTTATTGGCGGGCGAACCGGAGCCAACAAATCGCACCGGCGCGGCCGCGGCCGTACACGCCGCGCGACCGATGCACGAGACCGATTTCCGCCGTTTTATTATGTGTACCGCGCGCCAACGATATTATAATATCGTGTGCTGGGTACCGTACGCCGGCGTCTTTCTTCTCACTCGCTCGCTCTCTCTCTCTCTCTCTCTCTCTCTCTCTCTCACTCCGTCCGACCCGCTGTACCACTGTCCGTCTCTATCTGTCCGCGCGGTTTGTCTTCGCGTACGCCGCCGCCGCACTACTATACGCGTGTACATTTATACCGTATACGTATAGTAATAATAATAATAATAATAATAATAATATATACCGCGGCAGTGTTCACTATCCGATATCGCCGAAGGTGTTGCGCACGCCGTACACGCGGGCAGAGCGTACCGATAAAAAAAAAAAAAATAAAAAATATCGCATAGGTAGGTATACGTATTTGTGTGTACGGCGCGGACGGGAAAAAAAAAAAACGAGACGATAAAAATAAAAAAAAAAAATCCAAAACGCTCACGACCTTATAACTCACGGAGATAACGACGCGCGGCAACGAACGGCCGACGCTATTAGAAAAGGGAAAAAATTAAAAAAATAAAAAAAAAAAACCCGCGCGTATAATACCGGCTTTCACACCTCCGTGGGCCACGCCCGCGCGACCGGCGAACGCAACAAATTACCCGGCCGCGGCGCACACACAATAATATCGTTGCGGCGATGGGCAGTTGCCGCGAAAATAACGCGCGCGCGTCCGTCGCGCCGCGTGTTCGCCTCACAGGCGTATCGGCCGATGCGCCCGCGACGTCCGGCGCACGACTCCCGCGCGGACGGCCGCCAACGGCGCGGCCGCTGCCCCCGCGGCCGAAACCGCCATCCCGCCCTGCGTCCCACCCTCAAACCCCGCACCCCATCCACCGCGGGCGCGACGCGACATTCGGCTGTCCGGTTCACGACGTTACAAGACCGCAATCGCCGAAGCGGATGTTTCCCGGGACCGCGGCGATTCGAAAACCGTTTGCGAACACGCGCCCGGTCGAATAACACCGTCGAATGAATCGTGTACACATGTATTTATAATAAAAAAAGCCGACCCGGTATCGTATAAATCTGGGGCTTGTCGGGTCAAAAAGAGCCGATCTCACTCAAACTACTCGGTTTTCCGGAAATCGAGTACAATACGCCTTTTTTGGGTCGTTTTGATGTTTGCAATGGTAATATTTGTCCAATAGCGTATTGGTCTTTTCAAATCTGGCAACGATGATTACCTGTATATTGTCGTCGTATCATGCCGTTTCACCGCTAGACAAAGCGTATACACAATTTTCTATGACTGGCCACGTAACTGTTATTCATCAAAACGTGACAACGGCCCGTTTCGGCTCGGGCCCCAGAAATATGCACGAGTTAATTGCGACAAGTCTACTCGATCCGCGCTGGGTTGGCCCGTCAGGACGGCCCGAGATATTATACGCTGTTCTAAAACGGAACAGGAGCTCTCCGGCGCTCGATAATTTCACTGATTTTCGAACGGAAATCGTTTTGCGGAAAAAACGGCACGGTCAACTCGTTTTCGATTCTCTTCGAGTTATCGCCGTCTGGAACTGGTTAGTCGATATTATCCGGGTGCGGTTGCGTGCCCGGGAATTTTCGACGGGTGGGGACGCAGCGTATAAGAACCGCGAATAAATCGTAAAACCGTCTTCTTTATATACCCGACTCGACCGCAGTAAAACGTCCCTTAAAACGGACCCCCTATAAAGCGGAAATCTCCTTATAACGGAAAAAAAAAAAACAACAGTTCTGCATAACCTACATCCCGTATATTTGAGTCTCCATAAACGGTAAAATCATTTGGTAACGAGCGATTCCGTTATAACGACGTTTTACTGTATAAAATAGAAATCGGTAATTCAAATGCCGGACTCTGAAAATAAGCCGAAGAATTCTAATTTCGAACTTTTCCTCGTAACTCAACCGAAATATACTCGTTTTGATATCGAATCGTACTCATATTTGTTATGTATTTTTAAACCGATTCCGGTAGAGGGATGCATTCCTTAACCTCGCCCCGCCCCTGCGCACGCCGATGTCCTAGTGTTTTTAGTGACTCCGCCTAGTGTGGCCTATGAGATTTTGGACGGGGTATTTCGGATTTTCCGACCGTCAGTATAGGCGCTTTATTCGATACGTTTTTCTAGATTTTTCATCAGTTTTTCTGAAAAATTCAAAAAAACTAATAACAAATAATGACCGTCGACTAAATTGTTGTTAATTCTTACAGGGTCCACTACCGACGAGTGGGGATGGGGAAACGCGACTAACACTAGGTAATAGGAGTATTAATAATAACCTCGCCATTTTACCGTGAGGTCCGCTCAGAATCGTTTTTTCGTTTTTTAACGGTTTATGTCGTTGTATAATCAATACGACCCGGGCCTATTTTGTAATGATAAAAAAGAATATAAAGCATAAGACACGGACCGCTCGTCCACCCCGCGATTTTGAAAATATGTTAACGATAAAAGTTTGAGGGGGCGATTTTAGCGTTTAATTAAACGTTCGCGATTGCGTACGAACAGAAAGCGAGTCGTTTCGAGCGCGTATAACAATATTATTATTATTATTATTATTATTGTACATAGTTGTGTTGCGCGTGTATACCCGTACGTAATATATAATAATATACGATATAATATCACGTAACAATATCTGTTGGCATACATTGGCGGGCCGTTTTAGAATTTATTTGACAAAAAAAAAAAAAAACTGGGAAAAAAAACAATTTCTCGTAATACGTATCGTGTGGGCAAAACTGCTGCTGCGGCGGCGGCGGCGAGGTGAAAAAGAAATGGAAAAAAAAAAAAAAAAAACGCTGACTTTCCGTGTCTAATTTTCTTATTATTTTTACCGCGCAGCACCGCCGCCGCCGCCGCACGTCATTGAAAACAACAATATCTCGATAGACGTATAGATATAGATACATAGATGGATACGAGTCGAGTCGATATATAGACGGAAAAAAAATATTAAGATGTAAATAATATTTATTCATCCTACAAAAGAATTTCGTATTTTAATACGAAACCGTTGTTGTTCCTTGTGCCTGCGAGCCGCCACCGCGACACGACACGAATAGGTTCGTTCGGAATGTACCACTATACTTACCTGTAGCCTATGGGTAATATCTTTGGGCCAGTTCAGTTAAGCGTGGTATCAGTGCAGAATGGAGAAGGAGAAAATACGCAGAGCTCGGGTTGTTATAAAAAAAAAAAAAAATAAGCGAAGACTCCTGCAAGTTGATAAAAGCAGCGATGACGGAATAAAACCGCTCGGTAGACCCGAAACGAGACGGGAAGACTCGGTCGGGTCAGAAAGGATGTGGAATCACTAGTAGGAGACACGAATCGGAAGGAAAGTGCGACGGATAGGGATAAGAATGGTCGAGTGAACGTGAAACGGGATGGTCCTGAAAGGCCTTTTAACCATGAAAAGAAGCAGAATAGGTTATAACGCATGCATCATTCCGTTCAGAACGCGATGCGCGTACTCAGTTTACGATAATATTGATTAAGTACTCGGAGCTACGCGTTAAAGAGGACGCTCGGAAACCTTCGGAAGCCTCGCCCTCCCCCCCCGGACATACTTTGCGTTTATCACATCGGGTAGGCCACTGCGGGTAACGGATATGCGTAAGCGATGGGAAAACGCTATCGGGAAACGATTCCTAGTAATAACCGTCGTACCGGCGACCCGGAAAAACCGGGACCGCCGCGGACTCCGTGGCGGGCTCGAGTTTAAAATATAGAATCGAAACGGCGGCGCGTGTCACGCGCACAGCGTGCGAACGCAAATTCCCCTTAAAAGGGGATCCCGGGGAACAGCGGCCGCGGGCGATCACTATCTTACGAACTGTCGTGATGTCGAGCCGCCGCGCCGCCGTACCGAACGGCATTTTCCCGAGGATTTCGAACGTCGTGCGCGGATCGGGTTTTCGTACATATTCGAGCGAAACGATATCGTCGTCGTCCGACGGGCTCGGCCGCGCGCAGTACGCGTAGTAAGTGCCGGGCGTCCGTTTTTTCCGACACCAACCCCCCCCACAGCCATGTTTTTTCGCTCTTTCTCTTCCGCGAGCCGTGCGCGTTATGTACACGGACGTGCGTATAATTTATCCCGCACCTATTTATTTGTTTTTCGCTTTCCGACCGACCGACCGTACCTACGTAAGACGACGCGACTAAGTAGGCTATTGTGAGCGCGCCGCCGCCGTTTGCCGTTTGTGCCGGCGTAAAAACACCGGCACAAACGACACCATAAATAATTGTTCGTGTGCGCGGGCCGCGTGCAATATTTGTATCCGACCCGCGGGCCCCGCCGCCGCGGCCGCGAGCCGCTCTGCGCGGCGCGAGTGAAAGACACAACACGCCGGTCGGCCGGCCGCGCCAGATACGATCGCACGAGTTTTCGCCAAATCGCGCGCGGGCTCGCGCGGACGACCGTTACGGGACAGTGTACTATGTTATTACGTTGATGCCGGAGAGTGCAGAGGCGGGCACCGTGTTTACCGTATTTACACGCCGTTTAGATTTCGGGCGCGATAAAACTGCAGCGCTATACCGCGGGCACAACTGCACACCGCGCGCACGTAATAATAATGATATTACACCGCTCGGCAGAGCCGCAACAACAATAACAATATCGTACAGCAACACAGACGGTCGGGAAACAAGTGTTTATCGCGTCCGCGCCGGACCGTCGTCGTTGTCGTCGCACGGTTTCCCCTCCGTCGCCGTCCGCGTTCGGCGTGTTAACGTCCTTCGGGTGTCCGTCGGCGGTCGTTGGAAACGCGACGGCGTGTCCGCGGACGGCATCATGGACGGCCGGCCAAGCGCGTCGTCGCGGGCCGCGGACATCATCGATCGCCACTGGTCAACGCTGAAAGGGAAATCGCGCGCGCCCAAAAACGCGCGCGCGCGTACCACAGCTGACCGAGCGGCCGGCATGAATGGGCGAAGCCCGCGCGGCCGTCCCGTCCTCCCCGCCGCCGCGGCTGTCGCTCTCGCCGGTACTGTGCGGCCGGTACGTCGTCGAGCAAGACGACGCTGTTTTTGCTCTTCTTTACTCGTGCGCATCAGAGCGTTCCGGCAGAACATGTAGACCGAAACTTGGATATGGGTCACGGAGCTGCCTACTCGATCGGATCCCGGCTCGCGCCGGAACGCGTAGAGTGTGCGCAACGGCGCGCCCGCGGCCGGCCACGGCGGTCGTCTCCTGCGCGCGTGCGCGTTTACGACGACGGTGTTGCGACGCGCCCGGCGCGTACGGCGCGGCGGAATCGCCGATACGCCGGTAAGACGGATGTAATAGATTTGCGTAAGTCCCGCGGACGTTCGGTACCGATAAGGAGCTTACGTCGCGCGTTTGTCAGACGACACGGCTGCACCGCGTGCGTGCGTGCGTGCGTGCGTGCGCGCTTTCCTGCACGTTAATAATGTTATGTGGACGAGCCCGGGTAAAGGATGTCGGACCAGTTAAGTCGTCGCCGCGATGCGGTTACACAATGAAACCGCGTTCAAGGCCGTTCCCATACTACCGCGACTATTATGATTAAAAATAATCGTAAATATTACGTAGAAAAGGGAACGCGACCGATGGCGTCCGAAAACGGACCGCGCCGTCCGGCCGGTACGCAACGGCCGCGGGTGGGGTGCGGTGGGGGGCGGGGGTACGGGGAGGGGAACGGCGACGGAGAGAAGAAAATTAAAAATTCCGATTCTCGTTATTGCCGACGACGACGACGACGACGACGGTTCGAGGAAAACTCCCACGCGACGCGATTACGCGGCCGGGTAAAAAGCGCAGCGAACCGACGGCGGTACCCGCCGTTAACGCGGTAGTACTCGGGTGCCGCCCCGTGCCGAAACGACCCCCCCTCCCGGAACGCGGACGCGCGCGCGCACTCGAAACGTACGAGTGTTGTGCGGCTAACAACAACAACAATAACAACGATAACAGGCGCGGGCCTACCGCCGCCGGTCGGCGGTGCGAACAACCGCGGACGGCCGCGCGTAGCCGCACCGGGCGGTTATTGCCGGAAAACCGCCGAAACAAGCGCGCGCGTCCCCGCCGTCCGGCGAAGAAAAATGGGAAAAAAAACGTCTGCCGTTGCACCGCGACATCCCTACCCCATCGCTCCCCCCCCGTCTGGCTAATCTCGCGGAGCGGCGGTCGTCCTCCGAACCCCTCGGCCCCGCGGCCGCCGCCGATACAACGATACGTCTGTACGCGCGTGTGTGTCTTGTCCGTGAGCGCACGTCCCCGTCGTCGGCGGCGGCGGCGGCGGCGGCTGTGAACCTGCCAGTCAGCATGATCAATGTGGGGCATATCTAATGAACCATGCGGCACGAATTCGTCTACAATGCTTCTACCGCCGCCGCCGCCGCCGTTCATTGAGTTTTATACCGACGTTTAATGTGTCCGAGAGCCGACAACGTGTATCCTCCGCGCGTTTCATTTATATAATACTATATGTATAGGTGTTTTTTTTTTTTTCGGTTTTATTATTATTATTATTATTTTTTTTTTTTTTTTCTTAATACAAAAATACCGGACGGATTACACTTTACGGCGACGGCGACGACGACGTAAACCCGTCCCATAATACGTCGTCGTCGTCGTCGTCGTCGCCGCGCATACGTATTACACCAGTATAGCTTTCGACACGTCGCGCGTAATGCTGTGCGTAATATTGTCGTGTACGGCCCGCCGCCGCGACAGTCCGCGGACCATTTCGCGTGCGGACGACGCAACAATCGCGAAAACCGCGACGATAACCCCACGGAGAAATTCGGCAAAATTTTACCGGGAAAACCCGTACCTGCCGCGCGATTATCAACCGCGCATTATTATTGTTGTGTAGTTTAGACGATATTTTATAGGTTGCGTGTCGGTAGCACAATAATGATTTTAATAAGTTTTCCCACAAGGCGGCGGCGCAGATGAACCGTGAACTGGTGCCGCCGCCAGACGCTGCGGAGCCAGGAGATCATATTGATCAGCTGACCGAACATGTTATTATTATATTATTATTATTATTGTGGTGTGGCGGCGGCGGCGGTGGTGATTAGCAACGGTCGGCCGCGGTCACGCATGGTTCCCGGTGTTCGATCCATTCATACGTTTTTTTTCGTCTTCCTCTCTTTCTTTTCCTACTTCTTCTTCTTCTTCTTCCTCTTCTCCCTCTTCTCCTTCTTCTTCTTCTTATTCTTATTCTCCGTATTTCCAGAAGCTGCTCCCGGTGTTCGCGTTACGTAGTGCCCGTGCGCATATTATACGACGTCGACGCGCGTACCGCACAAACATCCCATTCATGGGTGTCCGCCGCTGCTACCGTACCGCCCGCGTACCGGTGTGAAACGGCTCCGGGCAAGGTCTCCGCAGCAGCCGCGGACCATTAACTGCTATACGCCCGACCCAAACAAAATAAATAATACCGGTTCGGTATAACTGAACCGTCGTCGTCATAACATCGTCTGCGGTTTCGTTTTGTTTTGGTTTCCCCAGCCGTCGGCGGCCCGTGTCCGCGGCGCGACTCGAAAGTTCGGCCGACCGGTCACCGCGACCGCGACCGTTTAAATGATCGAACGCGTCTCGTTTCGGACGTACGTTACGTTGCGATTGTCCCGCCGTCGCTGTGATGTGGCCGACGACTGCGATATCGACGGAAGCGAGGAAAAAGATGGCGTAAAAAAATAAAAAAAAATCTGCGCGTATAGAAAACAAAAAAAAAAAAACGGCGACGACGGACAAAAACCGAAGAAACTCTCCGCGTTATTATTATTATTATTGTATGTATGTATGTATGTATGTATAATATTGTGGAGTTTCGGTTATACGATAGTGTATGATGGCTGCAGATTATAAAACCGATGACCGACAGCACGGTTCATTGTGGAAGGACTCGGGCCGGCGCGGTGCGCCGCGACCTTGAATCGACCGGACGCCGTAATGAGCGAGAAGTTGGTGTTAAAAACATTACCAAGTTTCGAAAAATACCACAAAATTTTTAACTGACATCGTAAAAAAAAAAAAAAAATGAATATATTTTTATATTATGTATAAATAATGCGTGTAGCGAACAGTGGTGGCAGTAGTAGTAGTAGTAGTAGTAGTTGTAGTTGCATCATAACCTTGGCGTACGAGCGCGCGGTGAAAACAATAGGTTTCCACGTTCTGTAGCAATAGGAGCCGTTTCCCATCATCCGACCCTATTCGACTTGTCCGTACACACACACACACACACACACACCGTACAGTCGACCTTGACACCGGTCCGAGGCTCGAGGTTAAGAGTCCTGCGAATTGATACGTCTCCTCAACGATATGAGAACGTTTTTACACACGCACACGATATATCGTACCCGTCTGTACTATCATTACGAATATGACGAAAACCGTCGCAGTCACATCGCCGCCGCCGTCGTACATGTTTTGCGCGATGAAGAAATTTTTGACAGAACATTTTTTTCAATACAACTTACCTACATAACTGTACGATCGGTGACGAAACGAACATGAAACAATCTAGAAGCCACCTGTAACCTGCCCAGTATCAGGTCGCCCGTGTTCTCGCCTATTTCTACCGAATTAGTTGTCAACAAGTATTCGATTGTTATCGTATTGAGCACGCGTGCTTCGGGGGAGGGGGGGAAGGGAAACCCCAGAAGCGACAACTTCTCAAAGACTGCAGAGTGGCAATACGACGGATTTAGTAATACTTACTTCGTGTCGCTTACGGGAGAATATAACGAACGGATGTTACTCGTATTACGATATCCAAGGATATACCGTCGTTTTTCGTAAACTGCAGCCACGCGTCCAAAGTCTGACGATGCGAGCCGGTTTACTACGATAACATGGGTATCGTTGTTTTACTTTTTTTTTTCCGGCTGGATAACAATAATTTTACGCCTTGTATGTGGTCTCGAAAGCGAAATTCGTTTGACCGTGGGACCATATCAAATGCGCGCTATATATACGTATTGTAATAATATTATTATTATAAAAAGCGAATAAATCGTCTGCGGCAAAATCGGGAAACCGTCGTCGTATATTATGTTATATATATATATTTATATATAATATCGGAGAGGGGGATTCAAATTATGTTAAATGTCTGTGGATTCTAAGCCCGGAAATGACGTCACTAATTAGGGTGGGGTTTCCGATATGCAATCATCTTGTATATATGTATATACCAGATACCTATATAATATATCCCATTGTGTTACCTGCCGGTAAAAAAACGTAACCAGAGTGAATACCCCCCGCCCATCCCCTCCTAACTACTCTTACCGTCCCCCCCTCTCTATCCGTCCCCCTACGCCCCCGCCGCGCCGCAGTCCCTATATTCCCCGCATCCGCCACTCTCGGCGGCGATGGCTCTCGTCTGTACACACGCCCTGCGCAGTGTGACGAACCGATTACAGCGCGCGCGGTGCACGGCTACCTACAAAAAAAAAAAAAAAGATTCGCCGACGATAGACGGACACCAGTCGATTAGACAACGCGGTGAATAATAATAATAATAGTAATAATAGTAATATAAAATGCGGACACAAAAGAACGACGCTATTTTATTACGCATATTTTTATTATTGAAATATTAGTTGTGTGTGTATGTGCGTGTGTGCGTGTACCCGTAGAACAAAACGTTAACACACTCATACATATGCACGCACGCACGCACACACACCCGTACATTGGTATAGGTACTTTAAGTATTATCGACGGGGATAACATCACGCGAAACACGAGTCGGGGCGACAGGAATACGAGAGGAGTCCGTAACGCGCGACAAAGATCGTGATTTCGAAATATAACGCTGTAATGGCGCGTGTGCAATGCCCGTGCGCGGGATTTCTTCGTGGGAAGAGGGGATGGGAGGGGGGGTTACGAAAAAAAAAACGTATAAAATAAATACATCGATAGCGTTCAAAAGTCAAAAACACAAATTCGTCGACCGAGCATTTTACATCAGGAATGTTTGGCGGAAGAGTAAATTCGCCTTTTGATTCGATAAAATCCACACCCGACTTATTATAGTATACGAGATTAAATTATCAAATGAACGCCCGTAGTCGTTGTATTTTTTTCAAACCGACGGGAGACAGGCTCGAGTGTATCCGAATTGGTTTCCGTTTAAATTTGTGATGTATCCACTACTGGTCCAATTAGTTCCTATAATGTTCGCAGTAAGATAGTCGAACACGCACATTTCCATTCCCGTTCTTACGGGCTTAGGACTGCCAACTTAGAACTACTTAGATTTTGTACTAAAGACATTTCTGTATATTATATTCGGTACAATATATCAAGACTGATTGACGTTATCTTAATCGAATACGGTATTTCGGCAATACGCCTACATAGCGTTATTGTACTACGTCGTCAACTGTAAAATACCCGCCGCAGTATGACGAAAATTAAATGCAAGTTAAAAAAATGAACTACGTCGCGCCCGCGTTTATTGCGTTTATTCGTATAAATGTATTGGTATTAAACGGGAACCAGTTATTCGGCTCAAAAGTACCTTTTCCAAACGGGAATCAACTCGGCATATTATGCAGAGGTATGAGCTTGGGAACAGATTCGGATACATCCGGAGGGACGTAACCCCCTACCTCTCGCACGTGGCTGTTCGCGGTTATCGAACGTTCGTCGCCGATTCAGGTGACCCGCGAGTCGTCGAAATATTGACCTATATGTTACACCGGAAAAATTGTCCGACCCGTTCCGGCGGAAAAAAAAATTGTTTTTTTTTTTTTTTTACGCTACGACACCCGTACGCATTTTATTGTAAAGCAAACGGATGGAAATAGGTGATGTATACCTACTGTACTGCGGGTACCCGGTCGAAAACCATTAGGCGTCCGGCAACGTACAGTGGGTATTGTGTACGCGTTATTATTACAGGTAAAGTTGATTGATGATCGGTTCATCGGAGGAATGTTCATTGACCGGGGGAGGGAAGACGGCGGAAGTGGCGTGATTAGCGCGTACGCCGCGTTCTGACCGCAGTCCCACATCGGCGCGGCAATTGCTCCGCAGCGGCAGTCAGGACACACACACAAAAAAAAAAATAAAAATAAAAAAAAAAAAAACAAAGGTTTTTCATTTGTTTTTTTTTTTTTTTTATCACACATATGCACGCACAAAAAGAAGATCCTTTCCGCGCCTCCTTCCGGGAGAGTAGTGAAACGGTAACAATGAAAATATCATACGTATATACATACATGTTTGTTTTGTTTTATTCGATACATATTATAATATACACGAAATACGTATACATATATATATATATATATACATAGATCGCATCTAATGGATACGCCAGACAGGAAACGGGTACTGGAAAAAAAAAAAAAATAATAAGAAAAAAAACTAAAAAAAAAAAAAAAAATAAGGAAACGGTCCCCCCGCGACCGCGGAGGTGGTGTTCTTGGAATGTGAAGGTAGTACTTATAAAATAATATTATAACGTTCTCGGTCACACTTTTCAATAACTTTTTTTTTTTTTTTTTTATTATTATTATTATAAAACTCTTCCATATATTATTATAACCGCCACTAGATATACGTATACATATATATAAACGAGCGAGTATTATAATGTAATGTACGGAAAAAATCAAAAAAAAAAAAAAAAAAATCTCATTTTTCTCACAACTATAATGACATTACAAACATTACATAGCACGGGC